TCAAACATTATCCAGCAGTAGCTCCTGGATAAGGACTTAAGTTCTATAAGAGTAAAATCTATATCACTGTTTTCAGTATTGTGTTTGAATGCTGAGTTTAGTGCTTAGCATGGTGCTTAGTGTAATAAAAGTGGATGAGTTATAGAGGAGGGAATCTGTACACCTTAAATTTGGAAGGCTTTCCTCCCAGTTCATTTAAACCGTTGCTGAGTGCCTACTCTGTGAAAAGCCCTGCTAGAAGCTGGTTTATACTCACATCCCTGTTCCTTCAGTTATCAGAGGGAGATACAAAAATACTGTTACATTTATGGAGGAAAAAAAACATAGAAAGCTGGGGGAAAATATACATTCATTACATTGTTTTAGAATATAAAATGTCTGATACTACACTTTTGAATGCATGTTTGTCTGTTTTGGGTGTTAACATCTATAGATCTGGAGGAAGAAACGTTCTTTAGGCAAGAACAGGGGCTGTGTGATTACATAAGTGACAAGGTACACAGGCCATCTGTCCTGAAGATAATCTACCATTCCCACTGTCCTTTCTAATACTCTCCAGTCAGTTTACAAATAGAAAGACCTCACTTTCCAGATGCAGGTGGAGCTTCTCTGAGTGATGTGGATACAAGTAGGCAAGAAAAGGGAAAAAGAGGAGGCAGGAGGTTAAAGAGTTGTGGGATAAAAAAAATAAAGGGGAAAAAGAAAAGAAGGGGGAAAGGAAAAAAAGGGTAAAATAGGATTAGAAACAAGGAAAGGGTTGGGGAAAGGAGGAGGAGAGGAAAGGGAAGAGGAAAGTTGGGGAGATATTGACAACTCCACACTGAGTGTCACTGGACCACTGTATGTCCAGAGAGGAACTGGGTGCTGGCAGGGGCCCCTTACTCTGATTCCCAGGCAGGGGCAGCAGTACCGGAGTCAGAGCCGTTCCTCAGCTTTCACAACTCAACTGCCTTACAACCAGCTACCTCACAATGCCCAAGTAAGACCAATGGGCCACTGATGTTCACATGCCTCTAACAAATCCAAGAGTAGAGTTTTAATGATCAAAGCTCTGGAAGTGAATAGTACTTTTTCTCTTGGTAACTGTTACTAGCAAAATGGAAAACAAAATAACAATAACAACAAAAATAACAATGTTCCTAGCATCTCAACAATCAGCTCTGGGGAAGGCCTGGTCTGCTGTTCTTTTGGTCTTCTCAGTGTTCAGTTCAGTGATATACCCACCAGACATTTAGTAAATAGTTGGACAGCTGGGAAATCTTAACATGAAGTATTGCTTTGATTGGGGGGTGGGGTGGGCACAGAAGAAAGTTTAACAGGTCCTTTGGTGAGAAACCAGTCTCTGCTTTGTGGAGAAAAGGCTGAAGACACAGTAAGACTCCTAGAGTTAAGTCTTATGTTATTTGTTATTAAAGAGGTGAGGTATTAAGATGTGCTTTTTAACAGTCTTTAGTTTGGTTGTAATTTAAGATGACTTTTACAAATTAGATCCTAATCCTTGCAGACACAGATGGCTGTTACAGAATAGCCTTGCAAAAACACTAGTCATTCTACTTGAAAGAGAATTCAGAGAAGGGTGAAGGGCCATTAACTCTCTACCCCTAGTTCTAGGAGGTCTAACAAGTCCTGGGTGGGCCTAGGGCATAGTTATTCATTTGGAACAGCCTCTCTAGTTCACTCTAGAATCAGAGATTTAGGATCGGACCTCAGGTCATTAACATTCAACTACATAACAGAAAGCTTGTGTGTGGGTATCATGGTGGGAACTTCAGGAGAGAGAGACATGAACATGATTATGTACAGTTTCTGTAACTAATTATAGAACAAAAGGACAAATGTTATGAGAGGAAATGTATGAGCTGCAGTGGGTCCATAGATGAGGCAGAGAGAGCCAGTATACAAAAGCAGAGGCAAGAGAGTCTCTTGTGTATATATTGAATAGTGAGCAATCCGTATCTCCTCGTGATGGAAATAAGTAATGAGAAGCAGAATTTAAGAAGGGAAAGTTAGGTAGGGACCAGATTGTGAAGAGTTTCTAAAAACATTCTAAGAGGTCTGTACTTCTCCTAGAGCAGCAGAGAGCTACCAACAAGTTTTTAAACAAGAAAGGGAATGATCAGAGTGGGGGTTTTAGAAAAAGCACTCCATGGCAGTAATTTCAGGTTGACTAAGGACCATAAAATGGACCTGTGATGGATACTGGGAAGCTCTTGATTTCTCCTATGGACACAAACCTCTAGTTAGACTTTTTTCTCTGTGGAATTAGGCCAAACTTGGTCTGAATTGGCCTCAGGATGGGGATGGAGGTAAAAATGCGGTCAGGTGTGAAAGGGACACTGGGAGAAGAGACTGTTAACTAGAATGAATAGTGTTCCTCTACAGTGTACAACAAAGGGTGAATGAGTGAGATCTAAATCGGGAGTAAATTTTCTCTAAGACTGAGTGACTGATCCTCCATTTAGGGCTAATCCCTACTGACACTTAACACAGCCTGCACTGAAAAGGCTGAATGCCTGGTTAGTAGAGCTTAAAGCAGGCAGGTAGCAAGTCCAAGAACACTCTCTGCATTCCACTTCACAGTTCCCCTGCTTACTTACAGCAGCTTTCCACAGTCCACATTTTTACCCTGTGGGAGGAGGTCATTAATACTGATTACAAAACCTGGCTTCTTTTAAGAGATTGTTCCTATCCCCCACCCCCAGTAATCAAGTTTAAAATTTAAAAGAAAATAAAGTTTAATTTTAAAAGGTAGTTAGGTCCTTAAACTCCATCTCTTCCAGTACTTTCATTTCACAATTGAGGTCCGGAAGGGGAGTGATTTAAAATAAAACCAAGGTTCCGGATGTTAAAAGTTCTCATCACAAGAAAAAAAAAAGTGCAGTTACATACAGTGACAGAAGTTAGACTTATTGTGATCATTTTGCAATGCACACAAATATTGAATCATTATATTGTATACCTGAAACTAAAATAAAGTTTTATGTCAATTATACCACAATTAAAAAACAAAATCCAAGGGTTCAGAGGGACTAATTTAGCTCCTAAGTTTTGTATGTTCTCCAAGGTGAGATGTTCATCATAGAACATAAATGAAAACTAGGCTGATCTTGAACCCCTGGATAGTGGCTCTTTCCTAAATGTTCACCTGGAGTTCAACTTTGGTATCTGAATTTAAGGTAGTTCCTTACCTAGCTATGTGGTTTACAGAGGATATACATGCATGAGTTCCCTTGCCCATGTTTGTATGTATTATATATGACTAAAAAGGAAGGGCTTAGAATAGCAGGCAGGGCTAGTGAGGGAGGAAACAGTGGCCAGCACCTGGGGTTCATTCTAGTTTCCCTGGCTTAGACATAAATTGTAGAACCCTTATCTCATCTAGGTGATTTGTGCCTGAATGTTGGAACTAAATATACACCACTGGTTTCTGTTTCTATCCTGCAAATTCACAGCCAATGAACAATGAACTAAAATGAACTTTAACCAAATTCTTGGTTTCAGTGTATTAGATGAATTCTAGATTACTATAGGTAACAATGGAATAACAGAATATTAAGAGTTACTATGTATCCTAGAGGTAAGCTAGTCCAAGCCCTATTCCATATAAAATAGGAGCACCAGGAATGAATCCTTCTCTTTAGATCCATTATTGCTGAAAAAGGATTATTCAGTAGTGGTTGGTTATCTCCAATATACAAAAATCACTATCTCATAACACAAGGTATTCCTTTCTTAGAAAATGCTTTCTTACTTGGCCAAATTTGCCTCCTGTAACTTGCAACTCATTGGTCTCAGTCTGTCCTTAAAGCCTGGTAAAGTCAGATCCCTCTTTTTTCATGGAAGGCCTTGAAGTAGCTGAAGACAAAAATCATGTCTCCCATGGCCTTTTCTTCTCTAGAGGAAATGTTCCTCAAATGATAGGATTTCCAGTAACCTCATGTTCTTATCAGTCCTACTTTACACACGCTCCTGTTTGTCAGGCGTCAACATGGACTATCAGCATGGAGTCTAAGGACTTTTTCAGGGGTAGTTTATCTTAGTACAGAGTTGAAGAGGACCATCAAGTTATTCTCTTGTTGGGATTATACCTCTAAAAACGCAGCTAGCTTTTTGTTGGCAGCCACAACATATTACTAATACATATTCAGGTTACTTCAACCATAACCTCTGCTAGCATCGCCCTTCTGTCCCAAATTTGAGCAACTGGTTTTCTAAACCTAATGCAGGAATCTATCTCTATGTATTTCTATAAAATCTTTTCAGGTTCATTTTTGTCTATTGTTTTAGCATTTTAAGGTTTTCTTGAATCTTATTTTCTATAATCCATAAATCCAATAAACTTCATTTAAGTTGCAATAAGCATGGTGAAGAATAAAGGATTATAGACCCTCTTGGTTTCCTCTAGGAAGAGGGCAGGCTCTTAGCACTTTCTGGATACTACTATATAATGTGCAATGAATCTACCTAACTATAGATTTACATCTCTCTACTTTGTCCCAGACTATGATGAAAGACTATCAAATACCCTGATGAAAACACTGATACACAGCGACTATAGGTTACCCTCCCTGACTTCCATGCTAATAAGAACTATCAAATCACAAAATATTCTTGATATAGCATGCCTTGTTCTTAGTGAACCTATAATCATTGATCATGATCCAACTGTTAAGCTGTTAAACACACAGTTCTCAGACCTACTCTGAGGTACACAGAAATGAGATCTGAGGAAAGCCTGTGTGAAAGCTGGAATAGAGGAAATAACCAGGAAGAAAGAAAGACTTGGTACCTAATTTCTTACCTAATTCCTAATGGGCACATGTCTGCTGGCCTGCGAAGACATACCTTCTTTAAAGGTTAAGGAGAGAATGGTATGTAGAACAAAGAAGAACTGTTTAGTGTGTGGCCTTGTTTGGACTTTTCTTGGACTACCTTTGCCAGCCCTAATGATGGGATATCTCCCACTGGACATACTTCCCGAGATAGGTGTGGGAACTTACGTCTCTCCTGGGAAAGGTACTCAGTAACTTGAACTCGTCCCATGGAAATCCTTTGGAAGCTACAAAATCAAAGACAATCTGGAGCTTATTGCTGGCCAGGAAACGCCGCTCGAGGAATTCGCCACTGGGGGTCCGGATCCGCAGTTTGCTCACAGGTTCAGCATTTTCTTCCTTTGGCTCTGGAGGCAGGGCCTGCTCCAAGGAGAGCCGGATGGCCTAAGGAGGGCAAAAACTAGGTGTTAAACTGTGTGATGAATGGGACTGTGAGGAGTGATTAGAAAAAGGCTGCTGCTATCTAGAAACTCATCAAAAAGTTATTGCCCATTTATTAACCAAGCCTGCTGCTTGAACAATAGAATCATGTTTTTCACTTTTTTAATATTAGTCCAATAGGCAACTAGTTAAAATAAATCCCACCTTGTTGGCACATATTATTAAATTGATAGATAACTACACAAAAATTTAATTTGCTATCTTTTTAATTTACTTTTTATTGCAATATAGTTGGTTTATAATATTATATTGGTTTTAACTACACAACACAGTGACTCAAGTTACATTATTGAATCCTCACCCCAACTGATGCAGTTACTATCTGTCAACACAGAAAGATGTCACAGAACCACTGACTATATTTTCCATGCTGTATTGCCATCCCCAAGACCAACTTCTTTCATGACTGAAATTTTGTGCTTCTTTATCCTTATCACCCACATCACCCACGCCAACCCCTCCCTCATGGTAAACACCAATCACTTCTCTGTGAGTGTCTATGAGTCTACTGCTGTTTTGTTCCTTGTTTTATTTTGGTTTTAGATTCCATATATAAGTGAAATAATATGGCATTATGATTATGATCTTTCTCCATCTGCCTTACTTGTTTTTTTACTGAAGGGCTCAGGTATTTGTGATTGAGGAAATAGGTATCAAATATTCAGTTGTTTCCTTTCTAAGGTACAAATTAAGGCTATTAGAAGCATTTACAAAAGATACACATATATACACACACATGAATATATATATATGTATATATATTTGAAAAACATACATTTCCCAAGTTGAAATGCCTTAAGAGTTTATAGAATACTGGATAATAAAGTAACATCAAAATGGAATAGAAAGATTCTGTTTGAGGTGATAAAAATTTAAAAATTTTGGGAATAGTGCTAATGGTTGCACAACATTGTGAATGTAATGCCACTGAATTGTACATTTTGAAATGGCTAAAAAGGCAGGCTTCTGCTATATGTATATTTTACTACAATAAAAGAATTGAGTGGATATAACTTAAAATATCAGGTTTACTGGAGGCAGGAGTCCACAGTTCTAATTTCAGCCTTGCTACTAACTTGCTGTGGGATTTGGCTAACTTCAGATTGCTGGACCTAGAGATGGCCCAAACCCTTCATTGTACAGGTAAGAATACTGACTCCAACAGGTGGAGTTAACTGTTAGGAGATCTCATGGCTAGAGCTGGGCTCAAACCCAGACTTCTTAGTTCTCGACTCACAGTATTATGTTGTTTCACATTCATGTTACTCTACTGAGGGAGGGATAGAAGATTGCTGATGTTGGAATCTATGACAGAAAATTTTTTAAATATTTTAGTTTCTAGCATTCTGGGTGGCTCCTTAGATAAGTAAGCCTCGTATTAGCATGCTTAGCTTCACAGTTATATTCTATTCCTGGTACTTTTACATTCCATGTTCCCAATTTGTCATCAATAGAAAAACAAATATTGCCTCCAATTAATCTACAACTTTGTAATTAAGTAATCTGAATGAAAGAAACTGGAATTTATGTTTCCTAAAACCTCAACAGCAATTTTCAAAATTGGTGTCATGCTTTCACCTGGTGGAAAAACATACAGTATATTAAAACAACTCTTGGGTCAAAGGGGAAATAAAAATAGAATATCTAGAAAACAATGACCATTGAAATCCTTTGTGGTGGAATCTATGGGATTCACCTAAAGCAGTGCTCAAAGGAAATTCATAGCCTTAAAATTTTTATATCATTCAAAAGTGAAGAATAAAAGTAAGTTAATTAAGAATTAGACCAAAAAAGCTAGTGAAAGACCCCTAATAAAACAAATGGAAAGAAAGTCAAGAAAATAATCAAGTTAAAAGCATAAAATAATGTTAGGAAAAAACACATAATTAGTTTACCAATAAATAAGGTAGCTCTTTGGAGAGAATCAATACACTTATATAAATAAAAAGAAATACATAAAAATGGTAACTACAGAGGGTAGAGGAAACAGGACAGAATAAGTGACAGTGTTTTCTGAATATGTCTTTTTATATTTTTTACTTCTGATTATGTAACTATTATCTGATAAAAATTTGTTTATAATAACCAACAGAAAAACAATTTGCTCAGACACCAGTAAGTATAAGACATTAATTCGTGTCATTCAGACACAGACAACTATAAAGCCTCACAGCAAAGTAAGCCATCTACAGATGAAAAGGCAACCTACTGAATGGATTTATTTTCAAGTGATATATCCAATAAGGGGCCAGTATCCAAAATATATAAACTCATACAAGTCAACACCAAAAGACCCCAAATAATCCAAATAAAAAATGGGCAGAGGACCTTAACAACCATTTTTCCAAAGAAGACAAATAGATGGTCAGTAGATACATGAAAAGATACTGAACATCACTAATCATCAGGGAAATGCAGATAAAAACCATAATGAGATACTACCTCACACCAGTCAGAATGACTAGTATCAAAAAGACAAGAAGGATGTCTTTTTGCTGAAGATGCATAGAAAAGGGAACCCTCACACACACTTTTGGTACGAATATATAATGGTGCAGACACTATGGAAAACAGTATGGCAGTTCCTCAAAAAATTAAAAATAAAGATACCAAATGACCTGATAATTACACTTCTGGATATTTATCTAAAATAACAAAAAATAATTCCTGGGGAAAGTACCAGGAATAGGATATAATTGCGAAGCTGAGAATACTAATACCAGGCTTATTTATCTAAGGTGCCTCCCAGAATTACATAATCCAAAGAATTACATAATTCAAAAAGATACATGTAATCCTGTTTATTGCAGGATTATTTACAAAGCCAAAATATGGGAGCAACCTAAGTATCCATTGATAGATGAATAGATAAAGAAGATGTGGTACATATATACAATGGAATACTACTCAACCACAAAAAAGAACAAAACCTTGCAATCTGCAACAACATGGTACAACAGACCTAGAGGGTGTAATGTCAAGTGAAGTAAGTCAGACAGATATAGACAAATGCCATATGATTTCACTCATATATGGAATCTAAAAAAATAAAACAAATGAACAAATGAAAAACAAAACAGAAATAGACTAATAAATACAGAGAACAAACTGGTGGCTGCCAGAAGAGAGAGGGTTATGAGGAGGGATAAAATAGGTGAGGGGGATAACAAGGTACAAACTTCCAATTTTAAAGTAAGTAAGTCACGGGGGGGAAAGGCACAGCATGGGAATATAGTCAATAATACTAATAACTTCATATGTTAATAGGTAGTAATTACACTTGTGATGAGCTTTTTATAATTTATATAGTTGTCAAATCACTATGTTGAAATATTGTGTATCAACTATACTTCAATTTAAAAAAACAAATCAGAATAGGAAGTTAAACCAGTTACTTTAGCCCTTTTTTTTTTGGATAGCATAAATGGAAGTTCACCTAATATTGGTTGGTGCTCTGGGTCAGCAATCATATTTGACCCAGTTAATATTTTCAAGCATTAAACTATTTTAGTTACATTGTCATACATTAATTACCCAATGAATAGATGAACCTGTGCACATGAAAATTAAATTTCTGTTGTACTGTCTATTATAGCATTCATTATACTGTATCAGCTTTTTATTTAATGTCTGGCTTTCCCATTAGCCTGCAAGTTCCCTAAGGGTGTGGGAACAGGTTGTTCTTATTCCAAGTGTAATGCATATACAAAGTAGATGCTCAATATATATTTGATAAGAGAAAGAATAAACAAACATGTTAACTGAAATTATGCATGTGAAAGTAGGTACTCAATAAATACTAAAAGAATCTGAACCTCATGGGCTCTATGTCTAGTAACCAATAAATGAGCATCCTGACTTTCCTTTCTGAGGTTGGATTCCATCCAGCATCACGGTTCAGATTCATTTTCTACACACATGTCCCTTAAAGGCTAATCAAGAATTGCTTGTGGGGTAAAATACCTCTGTGGATTAGAGTTAGATGCATGTTCTAAACTACTAATGGGATCATTTGACTATTTCTAACACAGGTAGTTCTTTAAAACTGTATCTTTGAGATTAAATAATATTCTTCCTGATTAGAAAAGTAATACATATTCATTGCAAAAAACAAGATTAAATAGTAAGAAAAACATTACAATTAATCTGTAGATTCACATCAAGAATAATTTGAGTGTTTCACCCATTAATTTTTTTTTTAAAGTATCATTGATATACAATCTCATGTTGGTTTCAAATATACAATATAGTGGTTCAACATTTACCCCTTTTAAATCCTCACCCCTCTAGTGTGGTCACTTTCTATCAATGCAGTAAGATGTTACAGAATCATTAACTGTATTCTCCATGCTGTACTACCATCCCAGTGACCAACTCATATTGTGATAGCTAATTATTGTGCCCCTATATCCCCTTTCCCCTCCCCACCCCACCTACACTAACTCCTCCCCCTTGGCAACCACTAGTCCCTTCTTGTTGTCAATGAGTCTACTGTTATTTTGTTCCTTCTATTTTGCTTTGTTTTTATACTCCACAAATAAGTGAAATCATTTGGTATTTGTCTTTCTCTGCCTGGCTTATTTCACTGAGCATAATACCCTCTAGATTATGTTGTTGCAAATGGGAGGATTTTTTTATGGCAAAATAATATTCCATTGTGTATATGTGGCACATCTTCTTTATCCCATCATCTATTGATGGACACTTAGGTTGCTTCCATATCTTGGCTATTGCAAATAGTGCAGTGATAAACAGGGGTGCATATGTCTTTTCAAATAAGTCACCTATTAATTTTTTAAACCATTTTAAAGTGTACAGTTCAGTGCCATCAAGTCGCAACATTCACAATGTTGTGCTACCATAAGAACAATTTTTAAAACATGTTCATCACCCCATGTAATCTCTGTTATTTTTCATGCATGTTTTTATATAAATATATATTT